TTCTTTTCCTTCAAGTGAAATAGATTTTATTAAAAAGTGGATCTTTTCGGTTATGATAAATTGTTTGTCAGCAATACACGAAGCCTCCGTTTCGCAATCGGATAGCGCGTTCGGCTATTAACCGAAAAATTAGTGGTTCCAGCCCACCCATTGGCGCCATTTTATATTTGCTTTTCCTTCAAGTGAAAGAAAATTTATTTAAAAGTGGAACTTTTCTGTTCAGATTAATTGTTCCTCAAAAACACACGAAACCTCTGTGGCGCAATCTGTTCAGATTAATTGTTGTTCAGAAACATACGAGTAATCCATGGTGGAATCGGCTAGCGCATTCGGCTGTTAAGCGAAAGGTTGGTGGTTCGAGCCCACCAGGGGGCGGCATTCTATATTTGTTTTTCCTTCAAGTGAAATAGAATTTATTAAAAAGTGGATCTTTTCTGTTCAGAATAATTGTTCCTCAAAAACACACGAATCCTCTGTGGCGCAATCGGCTAGTGCGTTCGGCTGTAAACTGAATGGTTTTTGGTTCGAGCCCACTATGTGCAGCATTCTATATTTGATTTCCTTCAAGTGAAATAGAATTTATTAAAAAGTTTATCTTTTTTCTGTTCAGATTAATTGTTCTTCAGAAACACACGAAGCCTCCGTGGCGCAATCGGCTAGTGCGTTCGGCTGTAAACTGAATGGTTGGTGGTTCGAGCCCACCCAGGGGCGGTATTCTATATTTGTTTTTCCTTCAAGTGAAATAGAATTTCTTAAAAAGTGGATATTTTTTCTATTCAGATTAATTGTTCTTGAGAAACACGCGAAGCCTCCGTGGCGCAATCGGCTAGCGCGTTCGGCTGTTAACCGAAAGGTTGGTGGTTCGAGCCCACCCAAGGGCATCATTCTATTTTTGTTTTTCCTTCAAGTGAAATAGAATTTATTAAAAGGTGGATCTTTTCTCTTGATATTAATTGTTCTTCAGAAACGCACGAACTCTCCTTGGCGCAATCGGATAGCGCGTTCAGCTATAAACTAAATGGTTGGTGTTTCCAACCCACCCGGGCGCAGCATTTTAGATTTTCTTTTCCTTCAAGTGAAAGAGAATTTATTAAAAAGTTTATCTTTTCTGTTCAGATTAATTGTTCTTCAGAAACACACGAAGCCTCCGTTTCGCAATCGGATAGCGCTTTCGGCTTTTAACAGAAAGGTTGGTGGTTCGAGCAGTCTGTGGGCAGCATTCTATATTTCTTTTCCTTCAAGTGAAATAGATTTTATTAAAAAGTGGATCTTTTTTTTTCAGATTAATTGTTCTTCAGAAACACACGAAGCCTCCGTGGCTCAATCGGCTGTTAAACGAAAGGTTGGCGGTTCGAGCCCACCAGGGGGCGGCATTCTATATTTGTTTTTCCTTCAAGTGAAATAGAATTTATTAAAAAGTGGATTTTATTTTTTTGAGATTAATTGTTCTTCAGCAATACACGAAGCATCCGTGGAACAATCGGTTGTTAAACGAAAGGTTGGTGGTTCGAACCCACTGTGGGCAGCATTCTATATTTCTTTTCTTTCGAGTGAAATAGATTTTATTAAAAAGTGGATCTTTTTGGTTCAGATTATTTGTTCTTCAGAAACACACGAAGCCTCCGTGGCGCATTCGGATAGCGCGTTCGGCAGTTAACCGAAAGGTTGATGGTTCGAGCCCACTGTGGGCAGCAATTTATATTTGCTTTTCCTTCAAGTGAAATGGAATTTATTAAAAAGTGGATCTTCCGGTTCAAGATTAAATGTTCTTCTAGATCCTTCAATTTCCTTCAAGTGAAATAGATGTTATTAAAAATAGGATCTTTTCGTTTATGATAAATTGTTCATCAGCAAAACACGAAGCCAACGTGTCGCAATAGGCTAGCGCGTTCGGCTGTTAACCGAAAGGTTGGTTGTTCGAGCCCACCCGGAGGCGGCGTTCTATATTTTTTTTCCATCAAGTGAAATAGAATTTATTAAAAAGTGGATGTTTTCTGTTCATATTAATTGTTCTTTAGAAACACACGAAGCCTCCGTGGCGCAATCGGCTAGCGCGTTCGGCTGGAAACTGAATGTTTGGTGGTTCGAGCCCACTTTCGGCAGCATTCTATATTTGTTTCCCTTCAAGTGAAATAGAATCTTTTAAAAAGTGGATCTTTTTTTTCGGTTATGATAAATTGTTCATCAGCGATACACGAAGCCTCCGTTTCGCAATCGGATAGCGCGTTCGGATATTAACCGAAGGATTGGTGCTTCCAGACCACTCGGGGGCAGCATTTTATATTTGTTTTTCCTTCAAGTTACATAGAATTTATTAAATGTTTATCTTTTCTGTTCAGATTAATTGTACTTCAGAAGCACACGAAGACTCCGTGGCGCAATCGGCTAGCGCTTTCGGCTGTTAACCGAAAGGTTGGTGGTTCGAGCCCACCCGTGGGCGGCATTCTATATTCGTTTTTCCTTCAAGTGAAATAGAATTTATTAAAAAGTGGATGTTTTTTTCTGTTAAGATTAATGGTACATCCGCGACAACAGCTGAATCCGTGTCGCAATCGGATAGCGCGTTCGTCTATTAACCGAAAGAGTGGTGGTTCCAGCCCACCCGGGGGCAGCATTTTATATTTGTTTTTCCTTCATGAGAAATAGAATTTATTAAAAAGTGGATCTTTTTGTCAGATCACTTGTTCTTCAGAAACACACGAAGCGTCCTTTTCGCAATCGGATAGCGCGTTCGGTTGTTAACTGAAAGGTTGTTGGTTCCATCCCACCCGGGGACGGAATTTTATATTTGTTTTTCCTTCAATTGAAATAGAATTTATTAAAAAGTGAATCTTTTCTGTTCAGATTAATTGTTCTCCAGAAGCCCACGAGGCCTCCGTGGCGCAATCGGCTTTCGAGTTCGGCTATCAACCGAAAGTTTGGTGGTTCAAGCCCAAACGGGGGCGGCATTCTATATTTGTTTTTCCTTCAAGTGAAATAGAATTTATTAAAAAGTTTTTTTTTTTTCTGTTCAGATTAATTGTTTTTCAGAAACACACGAAGCCTGCGTGACGCAATCGGCTCACGCGTTCGGCTGTTACCGAAAGGTTGGTGGCTCTAGCCCACCCGGGGGCGGCATTCTGTATTTGTTTTTTCCTTAAAGTGAATATATAATATAAAGAAGTAGAATTTATTAAAAAGTGGAACTTTTCTGTTAAACTTAATGAACTATCAGCAGCACCCGATGCCTCCGTGGCGCTATTGGCGTGAGCATTCCGAAAGGTTGGTGGTTCGGGTCCATCCGGGGTCGGCATTCTATATTTTTTTTTCCTTCAAGTGAAATACAATTTCTTGCAAAGTGGAACTTTCCTGATAAGCGTAATTGACTTTCAAAAATACCCTACCTCTCCGTGGCTCAATTGGCTAGCATTCTCTTATAATAAAAAAGGTCTAAATCTCGAGGTTGATTTTTTAACAATGCTAATGGGGTTTGGTGGAGTCAGAACGCACCGGAACGCTTTTCCGACACTACTTTCTCATTTTTTAACAAGCGGAACGCCTTTCCGGCATTGTTTTTTCTTTACGAGAAATAAATAAGAAAAAAATTTAAAGATACCTCCTTAAAACAAAGCTGTCATCCTTACCCTGGAAAATATGATAAATTTTTTAAATTAATAAAAGTAATAAAGTGGCAAATGCTGGCGGAAAGAGATTAAAAGCATCAATGTTGTAAACATTTAATAGTATTTTTTGTTTCGATTCTGAAAACTCATCCTATTTTCTATATTATTTATCAATGTTATGATTTTATTACTTAACTAATTATAACCTAATTTTAATATAACTCGAAATCAACATAATTTTTTTAAAAAAATTATTCTTTAACAGCTTTATTATATTTATTCTTTTTACTACAGTAGGCATCATGCTAATGTTTGATCAAAAATAAAGTGTTGACGTTTCATTATTTCACAATTTTAATACCTAGATAAAATAATTATAGATTTAAAATGTAAAAAAATATATTATTATGAAGTTATTCCCTGCTCCACTACCACATTACTCTCTCTCGATTTTGCCTTCTCCCCATCTCAGCAATATCACCAGGTCAGAGCGTTCCGGTACTGTTTAATTTACGACTACACCACTGAATGCTAACAACAAAAATTTTTATAAACTTTTTGTAACAATACCTTATTTTAATTTTAACATTAAAATAAAGTATTAATAAATTTACTTCAAAAGAAGTGACTTTTAAAGTCGAGTTGGGGAAACTAGGGATACTTGACCCTATTTTTACTTTTGCTTATATTTCTTGAATATTTGAATGTTTTCATCATAAAAGGATTTGTTTTTAAATACTATGGATATATAAATGTACTTATGGTAAACTGATATTTCATTAAATCAAAAAATAAATATATTTCATGAAATCACCTAGAGTCAAGAATCCCTAACATTAGGGATAGTTGGCCCTAATGCAAAGAGTATTTAAATGCTTTTGATAATTTGCATGTACTCGAAATTAAGATATTAGGTTAAAACTACTAAATTATAACAGGTGCTATTATCGAAAAATATTAATGAAACTAATAAAAAAATTAAATAATATGTCATCTATGAAACGTAGTTGTTACTAATAAAATCTAGTTAATAAATTAAATTATTCTAGTCATTAAATTAAATCTATTTGTTAAATTAAATTCATTTAAAATTTAATAAAGAAATAAAATATTGATTTAATTAAATGATAAAAATTACAGCAATGGAACCGGGAATCTAGCAGTGTTATTAGCACGTTGAAGAATTGACGGTTTTGGAAAATTTGAAGGAAAAAAAGCAACATCAAAATGAAAAACAAAGGATCTAAAAAATGTTGTACAAAATTAGAAATTGAGAAGCTTAATAGACTTACTTGGTTCTATTAATATTTAGATAGAAATAAAAGTATGAGATTAAAAATATATTTTAGGAGTAAATTCAAATCAACAAAGAAAGACAAACTCAGCAGAAATTGCGAAATGTTAAATAAAACCAAACGATGACAATAATTCGAGCAAACGATTATTATTAAAATAATAGATAAATAATCCACAGAGAAGTAGAATCAGAGGTCTCTCACTTCCATAGACCCTAATGGCAACTTTTTTAACATTGCGTTTCACATAGACAATACGCCACCAATGTGACACAATGGAACTAACCGGACGTTTCCCTATCGTCATGACAACGATGTAAACAGTTATTTAAACGTCACCGTGACGTCATTGTGAAGCGAGAGGAAAGGAAGACGATTATCTATCGTCATGACAACGATGTAAACAGTTATTTCAATTCCTATCATTATTATTTTTATTGAATTTTTCGACGTTTTGTTTTCCGACGATTATTTAATTTGAGAATAGCCGATTTCTTTTGATACTTTATTAATTTTACTGCCTAAATAATATAATTCTGAAATAACGTTTTTCTCACCAATTTGAATCTCACTCTTTGTAGAGTACCAATAATTTGAAACATATGGATACATAATTGAAGAAATAATAAGTTTATTTCAGATAAAAAATTATATTTATTCTTTAAAAAAAACAGAAAATAATTAACCTCTTTGTAGAGTACCAATAATTTAAAACATATGGATATACAATTTAAGAAATATTAAGTTTATTTCAGATACATGAATTATATTTATTCTTTAAAAAAAACAGAAAATAATTAGCCTCTTTGTAGAGTACCAATAATTTAAAACATATGGATATACAATTTAAGAAATATTAAATTTATTTCAGATAAATAAATTATATTTATTTTTTATCAAGAAAAGTTCTTTCCAATCAAAATTTCTTTTAATTCCAGAGGAAATTATTTTTTATTAAGTTAATATTATACTATCTTTTTCAGAATATGCTGAAACAATAAATTAATTTTTCATAACTTCACATTCATTCTTCTTAAAGATAAAAAAGTTAAAGAATGTAATTTTAATACAGAAAATTCATTTGCAACGTTAATATTTATCAATTTTTGTATTCCCCAGTAAGAAATGAATAATGTTATTTAGTTTTGCACCAAGATGCTATAATAAATGTCAACGACTCAAAATAAAGCACACTATTTTATTGAGCAAACATAATTAGTAACAAAATATTATGAATAAATGACTTTTTTAATAAACCCCAAAAGCTGAGCATAATGGAATGACCTTCGCGCCTAGGGTGGCCCTACCAGGAGTTTAAACTCCCGACGCATTTCGCTCATTCTACTCAGCATAGGGAATTTTGATTAAACACCATAGACAGAAAATTTTCAAATACACATGCCAGCTGAAATATAGGAAAATTTAAAGCAGCATTAAGCTTATATCTGTACGACTTTTAATATACACAATTTAAATACTTTATTCAACAAAAGCAATTTTCAAGATATTTAATAATAAGATATATCAACAATCATTTTTAATTATCCGAGACCACAGAGCTTATAACACAAAATAATTCTTTTTTCTCAAAGAACTGAAGTTTGATAATGCATATGCATCATGAATTTGGCATTTAAAAAAATTGCAGTCATTTAAAGAAAAATAAAATAATGTAATTTTTTAAAATAAAATATTGTTAGCATAAAGAGTGTAACGATAACTTAGAAACCGACTCATTATAAGATACACAGAGAAGTTCCAAAATTTATTTCCTCAAATTAACTAGAAAACTGC